TTCGGTTTAACGCTGCTAAAGTCGACCTAAACCCGTAGTGTAGACCAGGCCTAAGATCATTTGGGCAGGAACAGTCTTTTTGTTCCAAGTTTATATAGCACCTAGCATAATTGAGTCCTGGTCCATACTATGGGTTTCTAGGCAATATGATAATACAAATAATAAAAAATAGTCATTTATAATTATCCTAAAAGTTCCCTAATACAGCAAAGTATTTAAGTGCCTGCTTAAATTTAAGTAAGTAAACTGATCTCATCGGGGCTACTCATATAGTTCAGGTTAATCTCAAATGTAAATGATTTTCAGGAGCAGAGTTCTTGGCATCTTGTAGGATCCAGTGCTAGAAAAACTAGAAATTCAGCAGGTAAAAGGGCAGAATGGCTCATATGCCATAAAAAACTCAGGACAAAAAGACAGTGTTTATGTGGGGAAGGTGAGGTGGGGAGAAAGTCAGAACCTGTGAGAAACAAACCAACTACCTGCATTCTTAAAGGGTTTTAGAAATGACAATAAAACAATACAAACGATTTAAAAATACAAAATAGCAATGAGCAAGTTCTGACCCTGAATCAATTTAAATTATTTTATAATTTAAAAATTATTTACTGTATCTTACTCCTTATTTTTCAGGTAATTCATGGATGAGGAATGTAAATTGGACAAATCTGAAGGAGAACTGCATACGTTCTGAGTACCCGGTCAAAAGAGGGCTCTGTTTTACATTAACTGAACTGTCCCACATTTTATTATTCATATTTGGAATATGTATTCTTCCAGGTTAGCTTTCTTACTGTTTATTTTGATCATAATCGGTGGAAGTAAATTTTAAAATTAACAAAGATCTTTCTAAATGTTACAATGTCGCTTCTTGTAATCTTCTGCACATACATAGTAGAGCACTTTAGAGCACTGTGAACATGGAAAACTTTAGAAAAGTCCTCTCAAGTGAAAAATACATATGGAAAATAAGTGACACCAAATTAGGCAGATAGACAGCACCATCAATGATAACTTCGGCTGCAGAAACTAAATAGCTGAGTATGGTCAGACCCCCTAATTAGTGACCGGCTCCCAATACAGTCATATGATTACACAAAAAGTAATGTTGGGATGGAGTCAGACTCTGACAAGGAAAGAAAATGAATCAATCAGCAGTAAAAGAAACAATCTCTAGGTCTTGTGTGACAGCAGACACAGATAGTAAATAATAATTTGTCTCCACACTGTCAGCTGTAACCCACGGGAGGTAGCCTGTGGGAAAGGGCAGTGACCTCCCAGGTGCATAACCTCACAGAATCCTCAGGTGAATGTGTAAACCCAGATACTGCAACATCCCTTTGGTGACACATAGGGCTAGCCTACACTACCAGCCCGGATCGGCGGGTAGAAATCGATCTCTCGGGGATCGATTCATCGCGTCTCATCTAGATGGATAAATCGATCCCTGAAATGATGCGCGTACTCCCACCACGTCAGGAGGAGTAAGCGCCGTTGACAGGGGAGCTGCGGTGGTTGTTTTGCCGCCATCCTCACAGCAGGGTAAGTCGAATAGGATACGTTGAATTCAGCTACGCTATTCGCGTAGCTGAATTTGCGTATCTTAAATCGATCCCCCCCCAAGTGTAGACCTAGCCTTAGTCTCTCCTCCCACACCCACCTCCCCATGGGTGGAACCAAGGCTTTGCTCACTCCCTATCTCTCGCCAACTCTCTTGGGCACCATTCACCCCTGGGTAGTAGATAGAAAAGTATAAGGACTATGGTCTGAACACGGGGGTATTAATCCTCCTAGGCCCTTTAGCAGCCATGCAAGAGGGATGTTTGTTAGCCCCTCTCCCCTCTGTGCACCTCTGTGAGAGTGAGGCAGAATCTAGCACTAAATGTGGCTCCATTCTACTGACCTTAACACTGCAGGAATACTGCCTGATTAACTTGTGTGCATACAAATTACTAAAATGTACATAATATACCGTCTGGTTATATTTTTAAGCTCGGGCTGCACCAAAGGGGATCAGTGATTACACTAGTAAGTAATGTGAGAATTCCTTGTGTGCTATATGTGTATTATCTCCATGTTATTTTCACAAAGAGATGCATTTAGTTTGGGGAATTAAATCTGCATTGGGGCGAATTCCACCCACAAAGAACAGTGTTACTACAAGTGCACAATTTTACAGTACCAGTCTATTTAACAATTAATTACTGAATTAAAACTTTGCACCCTTTGGGCCTGATTCAGTGTCCTTTAAAGTCAATGGGACTTCACTGGACTTTGGACCAGGTGTTTAGTTAATAGCAACCTTTTTTTGTAAGGTACTTTTGGGGGACAGAGGTAATGAACCAGGATTTGGATTCTTATTTAATGATGTCATGTGAGTGTACATAAAAATGGGGTGAACTTGGTAAACTTATGTTTCTGTTATAGATAACGTTCCAGAGATGAGCTCCTTTTATCCATACTGTAGTTATATTGTAAATTCAGTGCATCTTTAGTGTCTGTCTGGGTAAATTCTAGATGTGAATATGACATTTCTATTATAAACCTGTATTTCTTGTGTACCATTGTAATCTTCTACTGTTGTATAGGGCATTATGAATGCTAATATACTAGTGAAAAAATACACACTTCAGTCACATTTTGCTCACCTTATCATCTGTTCTTTTCCAGCTTCTTTCAAATATCCTCCAAACATGACAACTACTGGTAAGTGAAATTGTAAACTGTGAAGAATATCATGGTTTGTGGGACCAATAACAGAAGCTGGAGGATCAGAACAAAGACAGTAATTAATACATTTCATTTTACACTATTTTTTCACACCATAGTTACTTTGTAGTTTTATTTTAAAATATACACACCTACCAAAAAATGTATCAAAAAGTATAACTTTGGAGTAAATATAGTGTAAATGCAACATAATTAATTTATCTGGATTCTACCAAACCAAAACAACCTCCAGTCTAATCAATACCATACACATAGCTGGAGACTTTCATAGACACAAATGGAGTTAAGCATCCAACTCTCATTAACTTCCAATGGGAGTTGGGAGCCTAAATGCCTTTACTGCTTTTGAAAATCTCCCCCAAAATAAACAAGAGAGGTAATCAGAGTACCAATGATGGGAGGAAGTGGTCTGAGACCAAAAAAATGTTTTTGCCCCTGTGCCGAAGAAAAGTGGGCATTCCTAACATGCACACACCCAGCATTGCATTGTCCTCCTCCAATGTGTTTGACGAGGTGGTTGTGATTAAAAGGAAAAGAGGGGATGAGGGAAGAATATAATGACCAGTAAGGGGCAGAGGACATGACAAATTCTTTTGCCCCGTCACAGGAGGTAAATGAAGAGGATTCAGAAGTGCTGTGCTTATTATCTGAGAATAGGAAGTCCTATCCAGCTGAGTATTCAGGGCTTCATTTCTAAACTGGGAAAGGGTGTGATGAGAACCTCTGATTAGAACTGGACCAAAACAAGAAAAGGAATATAAATCTGCTGCAAAATGGAGGGTAGGTGAGAGGAGGGAAGAAGGTGAGAGGAGGAAAGAAGGGGAAGGGCTGGCACTGCAAGGAAATAAGATGTTACCACACTGCATGACTCCAGTTCATGGAGCTGGCAGATGCCAGAGTTTCCTCACCTGACACCTCTTCAATATGGAGGCCTGCAAAGGTTCTGATGATGCACCCCATGCAATATGCAGCTACCACATAATGCAGCAACACCCTGAGCAGTTCACCTGCTTGGGGAGAGAGAGGCTGTCCTCTACTAGAACAAGGACAATGGCAGGCTCTGGAATGGGTTGGATTGTACAGTGCCTAGCAGAATGGGGTTCTGGTCTGTGACTAGGGTTCCTGGGTACTCTAGTAACACAAGCAAATAATAATAAGGGAAATACTGACATTCAGAGATGCAGCATCTCCCTGAGAGAAACAGAGGCAGGAGTGAGTGTGAATCATGGAGATCCCATCTGTTTTGACTGGCATCTGTTTTCTGCCATGCAGAACCAAAGGATCCATGCCTCAGTCCAAAGCTGAGGGAGGGAGGAGAGCGAGATGCCCTCTAGGGGGCAGGAAGGCCCTGGAAAGAGGAGAGTGGTTTCTCAAGGAGAGAGATTTTGTATTTCTTGATCAGAGCCCCCTGTTAGCTGGCTTTCCCTCTGTTTTAACTCTGGCCTTCCCACATGCAGGCTATTTTGAGGTTTTAATATCCTAGCAAAGGAACGTCTTCTTAAAGAGGACCTAAAAAGGGGCGAAGGGGAGCTGGCTTTTCTTCCCTTTTTAGCATCTAAATAATAGATAAAGTAGGCCTTCATTTTTATTTATTTATTCTTATGCTTGCATTTTTACATGACAAATTCCAGCCCGGCCTAGGCTGGAAGATTCTATGATAACTGAGAAAGTAGTGTAATTATGACATCAAAAGAGCCAAGATTGTGAAAGTCAAACAGTTGAGAAAGAAAGGGATTTTTATTCAGGCAGTTTAAAATACATTGGCTTTTGTTTGTTATTGTTGATATCTATTTAACCTCAATGACTAACATTTTGGAGAAAAGACTTTCTTTGTTAAAGAGCCAATACCCTAATTCCGTTGACTGCAGCATGTGTATGTATCTTCTAAGACCCTTGACAAATCTTCTAGAAAACTAGGGAGATCAGAGTTGATATTGCTGTTACTCTGATATTTCTAAGATAAAAGCAAGCAGGAATAAAATAAAAATACTTTGAGGCCATGTATATACAGCATGAAATGTGTGTGGGAGGAAGATCCCATCTATTTTGTTTTCCAAAGTCCTTGTCAAGGTCACCCTTAAGTTTTGTCGTTTCTCATCCCCTGTAACTCTCTATAGCTAAAGTATTTTATGAAGATTTAAACTTCTACAGAATTGTACTGGATTTTGATCAGTTATTTTATTTGAATAGCTTTAAATTTAGTTCCATAAACTACAAAATGGTTAATAAACAGATATTTGAAATATATAATATATTATGGTAAAAAAATGAAAAAATCATGAATAATTTCAAAAATGGTTGCAGTCATTTTCATCCCACTGGTTTAGAAATGACAGGAACAGGAAACAGTCTCCAAAGAACAAGACAAAGTGCTGCTTGTGCTGAGTTTTTTGTGAGTGTGGACAACTGAGAAGCTGAGAAGGAAAAGGAGGAGAAAAGGGCCTCTTGAGATCAACATGTAGTCCTGGGGGAGAGGGAAGTGAGGTGACCCAGTAGGAGAAGGCCCTATCTTTTCATGAACAGGCCTTCCTGCCCCCTAGAGGGCATCTCGCTCTCCTCCCTCCCTCAGCCTTCTTCTGCTGGATGAGAGGAGTTAAGGAGTTAAGTTAACCTCTTCTGTTTAAAATAATAATAATACAAATATAAGTTAAGAGGGCTTCTCAGGACAGTGTGCAAAGGGAGAGATTTGTCCAATCCTGTGTTCCCCCTACGCGTGTTTTGTCCATGGTTAGTGGAGCCTGAGAGCACTGCATGTAAGGGAGCTCTCAAACAATACACATAGCATCACTTTCCCCAGCCCTCTCCTCCTTGGGCCACTGTTGGGGGACTTTGTCCAATTCCATCTATGTTGCTGGCCCTGTCTGGGGCTACTACCTCCTTCACCTCATTGGCCATGGAAGGGGCCATGGGAGGTGTGCCTTCCTCCATTTCTGTTTTCTGAAGGGCACACAGCACCAAATGCAGCAAAGTCCCTACACATGGAACATGCATTTCTAAGGCAGAGCTGTTGCCAATGTGGCAGGACAGATGTAGGCCTGGACCTCACTTCTGCTTTATGGTCCTGAACTGGGCCAGAAACAGTGTTACAACAGTGAGCTATTCCTGGCATGGCAACAGCCCTGGAAAGGAGACTACCCTCCTCTAGGTATGTTGTAAATTCTGTGCTTCTGTGGTGTCCATCCATGTGAAGGCTAGATATTGATATGAAATTTCTATTGTAAACCCATATTCTCTGTAAAAAAAATCTACTTTGATATGAATTATCAACTGTAATAAATATCAGTCATCCATCGAATCTACAAGAGACATCGTCATCAACTGTACTACATTAATGAAGAACTATGCATTTTATCTACATTTTCCCCACCTTCCTATCCATTTGTTTTCCAGCTCCTCTTCCACATCCTACAATCATAAATTCCAGTGTTAATGGTAAGTGAAACTTTAATCTGTGAAAAATATCATGATGTGTGACACAAATAGCAGATCATGGAGGATCTGAATAGAAATGGCAAATACTAGCACCTCCCCCAGGAGAAACAGAGGCAGGACTGAGTGTGCCCAGCAGACATCCCTGGGATGACTGGGATCAGGTATTCTCTGCTGTGTAGCACCACAGGATCCATGCCTCAGCCCTTAGCTGTGTGATGTGGGGGAGAAGGATGCCCACAAGAGGAACAGGAGGGCCCTGGATGAGGGAGACAGTGTGCATAAGGATGGAGAGAATTTTTTTGTTTTCTTTTGTTCCTCTCCTCAGCCTGTTGAGAGCTATCTCTCCATCAGTTCCAAATCTGAACTTGCCACATGTGGAATACTTTGTCGTTTTAGTATTGTAGAAAAAGGACTGCCTGTTACAGGTGATCTCTGGTGTATGGAGAACTAGTGGAATAGCTACACCACAAGAGCTAAAAAAGCAAACAATGAGTTGTTGAGAGGGAAAGAGATTTTTAAATTAGACTGTTTAATTTTTTTATTTGGTGTTTTCTTTTAACACCTGTTTAATTGCAGTGACTAGGTAAAATTTGGGAGAAAGTAAATTTTATTTAAAGGTTTTACAAGCTCAAAAAATGCATCTTCTGAGACAAAAGCAAATCCATTAGCAACACCCAGAGTTGCCATTATTATTTATTATTATTTACTATTAATCATGTATATTGTGGTCATGCCTAACAGGCATCCAAGAATGGGGCCTCATAGTGCTTGGCACTACACAAAGACAGAGTATCAGACAGTCCTGTCCCAAAGAACCAACAATCTAACAAGTCCAGACAGAGACGTAGTGGGGGAAAGGCAGCAGTGAAAGTAGGGCAGTCTGGTCCAGTATGCCGTACCAGCAAGATATTTACAGCCAGCATGGTGTACCAGAAAGACAGAGGAGGAGCAGAACGTGGGGCTGCTGGGTGGCCCCACACTGGCAGCTCCTCTGGTGCAGCTGTACCACCTCCAGCCCCACCCCCTGCCCTTCCATGGAGCTGCAGCTCCTCCACCTGTACAGCAGCCCCACTGGAGGACAGGGCTGGGGGGACAGGGCTGGGGGCAGTACAGCCGCTGGAGGTCCTCCCCAGGTAATGTGGGCTGGATCATTGGGAGGGGATGGGGAGAGCATGGGGGCCCCGGGCTGGGAGTGGAGAGGGGTCACATGGAGGCTACCGTGGGAGGTCACGTGCCCCCCTTTAGCTGGTGCCCCACAGTGTACCGGTAAGAGATGGATTCTACTTGCACCACTGGGGAAGGGGTATGATAACCAGCAGAGTAAAACAGTGTGATAGCAGCAAATGGCATGTTAGTGCCACTATGTTCTTTCTTTCTTTCTTTCTTTCTTTCTTTCTTTCTTTCTTTCTTTCTTTCTTTCTTTCTTTCTTTCTTTCTTTCTTTCCATTAGGAGGGGATCAACTATAAGTTAAGGGGCAGGGATGTTAAAAGGAGGGGAGTGAGGGAGACAAGACAGTGGAGTAGAGGAGAGTAAATGGGGGCAGGTGTGCAGTGAGTCTGGGGGCACAGATTGTGAGGGAGAGGACGGGAGGGGTTGGAATGAACAGCAAGTCAGCATAGGACAGATAATCTTCCTTCTCCCCCTCTTCTCTTCCCCCATTTTGTGTGGAATTAGGCAGCCTTTGAGCACATTTACTGCATTGGGCCCTAGAGTGGGCTCATGGATGGCTCTGGGGTTAGGCAGGAGGAGGGCATCTGGGCACTTCAGGTGAGGCAGCAGTGCACACACCCAGGGCCAAAACATCAGCAGTTAGGGAACTCGTTTACTGTACTAACATGGACCCTGAGTGAGTTTAGGCATCATCATGGTTTGGCGGCAGCCAAACAGGAGCTTAGTGGGTCGCAGTATCACCTAAAATGGGACTTAGGCATCTACGCCAAGCTACTGGTTCTGCAAGCACATGTTTAATTTTATTACCAGTAGTCCCATTGAAATCAATTAACACTAAGCACACGCATAACTGTTTGCAGGATTGGGACCTTAGACAGATAAAATAGTTTCTTTCTTAAAAGGTTTGTGCTGCTCTATAAGGTGATGTTACAGCTTCAGGTCTTGTGTGAATCAGGACTAAGCCTTTGTGTTCACTATGAATTATTTCCTTTCTCTCCAAAAAGGAAGAAAAATCTATCCATGTTGTTTTTCTCTTTTGCATCACTAATGTGAGCTCTTTGAGCAATTTTTTATATCTGAAATGGAAATATATTTCTAACAATATAGGACAGTAATTGGAATTTGTGATAATTCTTGGATGATTCTTTGCCACAAATTGGATCTATATACCAATTCTGGCACTAGTTGGCCTTACTTGCATCATCGCTGCCACCATCCTGTTGAAGAAATGTAAGCGGGAACATTGTGGTAAGGGTACGCACCTTAAACACTATGGATTGTTATAATCTATTTTGAATGTATTTTGGAAACTAGCAGAAATTTTGTTCTAAAATTGTTACTATTGCTGAGATCATACCGTCCTGTGATGGCAAATGAATTTGATGTATTAAATGTCAAAGACATCACTTTAACAGTCATTCTATGAGTGGCTTCTGCATCTTCCCACTGTAGGATCGAGGCCTGTGTGCTGGGAAGTACCGTAAAGTTCTGGAAGGCAGAGTCTGCAGAGGTCGCTCACCCTTCTCTTCCCTCTCATACCAGAGCGTTCAGAGGTTGTAAAGGGGGTGCAGCCCAACTGCTGTTGAGCTCCTTCCTACTGAAGAAAGTGCAGCGAGCTTGGATCAACCATGCGCAAAATCCTCAATGCTTCTGTCATCATTGTTCTCTCTCTCTGCCCTTCAGAGGCAAATGCTGTTTATAATAGATCAATTGTTACTTAGTCTGATTTCCTATAGGGAAAGAAAAGAAAAGTAGATGCCTATCCAGCATGGGCTTTGTCTGGACCCTCAGAAGTGGGAGGGCTACCTCGCAAACCCCTTGCACACCTCTCAGATCCAGTTGGTTTAAGTCTGGTCATCTGTGAGACCAGGATTCATTTAAGGATCAACTCACCATCAAGGTCCCTGGATTAGTTCAGGTTGACCTAGGAGGCCTGGCCATGTGACCGAAGTTGCTCTGGTCTCTGGATCTGTCTCTCAAAGGATACGGGGCCGCAAAATTTGGATCTGGCAGCTAGACCTGGATCTGGGGCCACAAAACCCAAATCCTGCAGCAGACCATGGAGCCACAGCCACAAAGCCTTGATCAGGCAGTCAGGCCTGAGGGACTGCCAATGCAGTACTGCCAAGGAGGGTTCCAACTGCCTTGGATACAACCAGCATGATGATCCAACAACGTTGACACAGGCAAGTCCCTTGTCTAGTGGCTCCGGAACACTGAAGCCCGTAGATCTGCCCGGGTCATTGGAGTCTGGTACTGCAGTCTACACTTTTTAGAGTCTTTGGAGATCTTTGGAGATCTGCTGATTCTGTGCCTAACATACTGGTTTGAACAAACTGACCCAGTGTGCTGGTCCTCACAACACTTGAGAGGGGAACCCATTACAAGCTTCAGATCAGATGTGGAATAGGGGATAACTCAGTTATAAGATGGTGTCTTCACCCAGTACTTCCTGTCTAGCCATTTTCAGATACACACACTTGGTGTCTTGCTTGTTGGGGGCATGGTTTTCCCTTCTGATGTTCCATCTCACAGACCCTCATCCTGAAAGTGAAAGGAGAGAGACAAGTCCATTCTTAGATTCTCTTACTCTCAACATCTTCTCAGCCAATTTATTTTGTTATAGAGCTTTCAATTCCCTGGATTCCAGAAGGTTTTCCAGCCGATCCCCAAAGATTTAGTGCCAGATTTTCAAAGTTTTAGGTGCCTAAATGCGGAGAAGCACCTAGTGGGAATTTCAAAAGTGACCATGCACCTTACTCCAGAAATTAGGGGGCTAGACATTTTTGGAAATCCCAATATGTGCTTATAAGCATCTTTAGTCA